TACCTCTCTTCTCCTGTCCTCTGCCTCTCTTCTACTGTTCTTATTGATCTTTGAACTCTTTACATTCCCGCTGTCGTCATATCGTGGCAATGTCTTTCATTTTCCTCATTTTCGTACGGCCATGACACACTGGCTTCGCTGCAGTGCACAACACTACATGGAGCGAAGCCAGTGTGTTATGGCCGTGCGAAAATGATGACAATGAGAGACATTGCCACGATATGACGACAGCGGGAATGTAAAGAGTCCAAAGATCAATAAGAACAGTAGAACAGAGGCAGAGAACAGGAGAATAGAGGCAGAGCAGATGGAGAATCAAGGGTTTTGGCGAGAGACTAAGGGCCTTGCTGCAGAGAGGATGAGAACCATGCACCGTAGACAATGACAAATATACCAAATGATCGATGATGGGCCATCATCAATCCTCGCTCCATTACTCGACACTCTTAAACTCATTTGGACGCCTTTCTGGATCAATATTTGGAGTCCAAAAATTGGAATGCATCGGACCGATTGGGGTCCAGATACGTCACTCGATATCCCGGATTCAAAGATAAACAAGGAGGCGACAGAGAAGAGGAGAAGAGAGGATAGGAGAGAAATAACCCCCATCCGCTCCAGAACAGAGGATAGGAGAGAAATAGCCCCCATCACCTCTGTTCTGGCGAGGAAAAAAAGGCAAAGAGACAAGCAGCAAGATAATCCATTGGAGCTGCAACCACGTCAGCATCATCAGTTGAAGATTGGGGATGCCGCCCGAGGATCGCCAGGTTCGTCAGCAGGATTGCTTGGTCCCACTGCCGCCGCGGTGCAAGCTGTTTCCATATACATGATACAGAACACGGAAAAACCCACAACCTTAAACACAATTTTGTAGACAAGCTACCTTCTTCCCCCGAATACAATGTACGGTCATTATAGCTGTATTTGGGGCATCTTTCAGTCTAAATACGGCTATAATGACCGTACGTTGTATTCGATGGAAGAAGGTAGGCTCTTTGGCCAAGAACCTACTACTCAAGCCGAAAAGACGTGGAACAGGAGAGAGGCGAAAGGAGACCCAAGTCCAAAGCTCGCCCGACTCCTTAACCTCACATTCTTCCGATAAGCTTTCCTGCACCATTTCCAAAATCACACCTGGGGACCAACGGTACCAACGGGACTACCTCATCAGTTGGCACACCCATGAACTGTTGAAATACAGACCSAAGTTCGAATCTAGACGCAAGCAGATCTGACCAAAATAAATGCGAAACAAAATGGAAAGGGTTTAAGAGGCAAACGRACAGACAAGAAAGTGCYGAGACACTGCAAAGAATAAMTCTGAAGARCGWTATTTCGAGATTACCTATTCGAATACACAAGCACGTGCAACCACRCACCTGGACCATTCAGCTGGGAAAGTGCATGTATATTCTCTCAAAATCGCAACCACCAACCCCATCAAAACAACAAGGCCCTCCCATTAAGGGACAGAAAACGAAGGGATAAAGGAGCGACGAGATAGGGAGAGAAAAGCAAAGGGACAAGCGAGGACAGGGGCAGTGAAATAGAATATCAGGTAAGCAACGGACAGAGAAGCAAAGGGGCAGCGAAACAGGATCAGGGAAGCAAAGGGCGAGAGCACAGGGAGAGATGAAGAGAGAATTTAACGAATGGAGGGAGATAGTAGCGAAGAGAAACGGTAGCAAAGGGTAGCAGAGGGAGAGGGAGGCAAAAGGGAGAGAGAGGGTAGCAAAGGGAACAAGAACATCGAACCAGGGACAACGACAGAAAAGGAGACCGATCACACCGAGAAAAACGTGAGAAGAATAAAGAACAAAAAAAAAACACCAAAACACTTAGTCTTTCATTTTCTCCCGCCATCTGCAACCTGCTGGCATCTTCTCCCTGCCCCACCCCGATCTCGTCCTTGTTGCTATGTCCTACCTGCCGCTTTTTTTCTGTGCCCTTTGATTTTTCAGAAGGGAGGGGCACCATTGGCTACCTCAGCCAGCCCTCTCCGGATTTTTTTTTTTACCCTATTTATTGGGGTGCGCCAGATCATGTGCACGCACATGCGATGCGCCGCAGGTATGCAGAAAAGGCACAAATAATGAACTGGGAATTTGTCTGTGTGATCGTGGTAGCATGTAAGAAAGGGCACCAATAATGACCTGGGGTTGTGTCTGTGGAACTCTGTTTTCACGTGCCAGATGAGGGCGATCGATGGGAGCAGTATGTATGTCGCTAACGCATTTCCACAGCAGATCCTCCCGGGCTTGCCACATGAGATCATTACACTGCCGTTATGACATTCTATCACATGGATCTGTTGCAGAAAAGGCAACACGAATGAAGTTGGACTGTGTATGGCCTGTGCATTTCTGTCTTCATATGCAACTTCATCTGCACGCTCCATGAGTATTAAACTGCCAGTACCCCGCCCAGCCATTTTTTTCCAACTCCGATTCGATTCAGGTGTTGTACGTTTATGTGTTATCTGGAAAGCACCCAAAAAAAGGGAAAAAAGAAGGTCGCGGCGCGTAGAAAAGACTGCGTAATTGTATGGGAAAAAAAAAAAAAAAAAAAAGGCCATTGTGCTGCATACATTTGGATGGTAAGAAGCCAACGTTCACGTTTCCCGTTTGACAGTACCCAGGTCCATATCGTGAGACAGCAATCGCGACTGAGATCACAGTTACTGACATCCTTTCCTCAAATAGGCTCAGCTGACGAATCCTCCACGACTCAACACATGGACAAAATAAAAAAATAACGGCGGTGTATCTTTCCGTGTTCTAGCGGAAGATTCATTCTCATTTTGCACAGTTGTTGAGTACTGGAGCGAGGCCCCACGACTGGTTTGCCGAAAGTGACGGCTGCTGCCAACTGTAAAGCCACCCCTGAACTTGGGGCCTCACTCCACTGCACACCAAATGTGCAAAATGAGTATGAATCTTCAGCTGGAACATGGAAAGATACACCGCCATATTTTTCATCTTTTGTGCATGTGGCGAGTGTTGGAGCAAGGCCCTCATTCTTTTTGTCCTTGTTTTCTTCTTTTTCTTTTCTCGACTCTTAGCAGTGACGGAGGCCGCCACTCATGTCATTCTTTTTTCTTTTTTTTTTTTTCTTCAGGCGGCCACAGCTCTTTTTTCGGCCTGCCCTCCCGTAGCCTCGGGCACTGGCCGCGGACTGGTTCGGAAAGCCTCCTCCCAAGGTACTGGCGGCTTAAACCACCAGTCCCTTCCAACTCGGGTTGTTGACCCGCTGCAAAATTGTGGGTCGAGCCGACTGGTCACAGAAGGCTTGCATCATCAGGCGAACTCCACGCCGTGCTTGTCAGTAAAGAATTGACGTAGGGCAAAAGTCCACGTCAGAAAAAGAGGTGCAGAGGGACTGGTGTTTTCTTTTTCTAAAAGAGGAAAGAGTTTCAAAGAAATCCTCATTTGGCTCTATTTGAGTTAAAAATCCTCCTGTTTTGCTCCACAGATCTTTCAAACTCCTTTGTTTTTCGTTGGGTGCCTCTTCCACTCACCTCTTTCTATGAACATACAATCACTTGTGATCTGCGCACTGATAACTAACCATGCACACACTGTGTATTGTGTCTGTATGACCCCTATTGCAGCTTAATCAACTCCTATGTTATGGCTGGAGACATGCGAAATGCCATGAATTGCCTTGAAGAAATGGAGCTGGAAGGCGTCCCACCGAATGCAGCTACCTACACTGTCCTGATCCATGGACACGCAAGACAGAAAGACGCTGTGTAAGGGCTGCATGCCTCACACTAGCATTTCCCTGGATGTATCTGACCGTGGTTAGCTCCCAATGTCGTCCAACAAGTCATGTTGTCACTGTCCTTTCAAATTACACTGCAAGGCAGCGCAAGCAGAAATTAAGGAGGAAATTTTCATCTTGTTACTGGAGATCATGCTCAGTCTGTCCTCAGCTAGGCTACCAGCCTACACAGGCCATGGAGGCAAGGATCCAAAAAAAAATAAAATTCTGACTTCAGCCCAGGACTGCGCTTGGCCTGAGCTGTCAGAATCCGTCCGTATCTTCCGATTCCGGGATGGGTCACAGGGATTTTAGGGGAGTAAACAGGGTTTAAAGGGGTACGTAATTAACTCTCGTTTTCTATTGTATTTTATCTCAAAATCAATAAGGAACTTCAAGGTGAACCTCAGCCAAGGCCCAAAAGTTGTTTGCAACTAGGAAGATTTTCATGCCCGGCCGGGCACCCGGGCGTGACGCCCGGGCTACCCGAGCGTGCAAAAAAAAATAAAAAAAATAAATAATAATAATATATATAACTTCAATAGATCTGATTTTTTGGAGCGCTGCTGTAGTCTGTAGTTGTTCAACGTGTGTTTACGATCCACAGATTTATTGCAAAGCAAAAGCTGGAGAGAAGATGGAGACTATAAATGATGTGCTTCGTGTTTGCAGGTTTAGATTCTTCCGTTCTCATTTTGGCTTAGTCTTTTCGATCTTGCTACAACTGTGAAGAACACTCAAAACATGGCATTTTACGAGGTGCACTTCTGGTTGCCTAATGGAGATGCTTTTGTGGTTTCAGTCGCTCATCCTGCATTTCCTGGTTCATTCTCTGGTGTCATTCATAATGTTGCGGATCCTGGCGTCAGGTCAGCTGAGCTTATGTTTGAGCGGATGAAACGAGCCAAGATCTCACCGCTAGTTGCCGCCTACCAGGTTCTCATTGATGCTTTCTGGTATGCATATCTTACACCTCCCATTGCAGTTGTTTTGTACCGGCTTGCCTTGTAATGGTTCAGATTACTTTCACACAATGTTAAAAACACTTGAAAGGTTACAACAATCATTTCACGAGATGGAAGAAAACTCCAAAGAAGCTATGCTGGGCTGGCGCCCGGCTGGGCATGCTCTGCCAGGTGTGCTCAGGACGGCAGGTAGGGGGGGCACCCACCCACCCAGGTACACCCAGGCCGGCACCTAGGTAAACAGCGCGGGTCTACCAATGGGCCTATCTCAATCAGTACACCAATGAACTGTTGAAATACAGAGCCGACTTTGAATCCAGATGCAATCAGATGAACAGAATGAGATAATAGTATCATAATACTGTATTACCTGAGGCTGCTCAGTTCAATGATGATATCTCAAGGCTGTTGCCCTTTAAAAAAATGGAAAAAACAGGGTGGGTCAACATAATGGCAGGGATTCAAAAAATAATTTCTGACCTCATGCCAGGATTTAACACGGACAGAGCAGTCAGAATCCAGCTTTACCTTCCGATTCGGTGATGGGTCCGCCGGGGGCTTGGGGGCTTTAAAGAAGTTTAAACCACCAGTAGCTCCGAGCCGTTTTTTTCTCATGGTGGATTTGTACAGCGCGCCAAGTACAAAACGAACCAGCACGGCGCTCATTTTTTTTCCCTTTTGGCTGCCGCCGCCAGCCAAAGAGGTCTGGGAGGCTGAACCCCTGAAGAATGCAGTGGTGGACATATTTGTTGCAAAAGTTTGGCTGTGGAAGGTAGTCGTGGTTTAAAAAGGTATACCATGTATCTTAACCATAGTTGCGGCGCACCAGTGCGCAGTGCGGTGCGGGGCGGTGTGCACTGCTCTGTGCACTCGAATGACAGCGCGCGCACTGTGCGGCGCGCTGTGCACAGTGCACAGTGCGGTCCGCTGTGCGCGGTGCGCGCGCTGAGGGAGGTGCGCCCTGTGCGCGGAAAAAAACATAAAAAAATAAAAAAAATAAAAAATAAAAAACAGGCCCCCAAGAGAGAGAGAGAGAGAGAGAGAGAGAGAGAGAGAGAGAGAGAAGGGTCCCCTTAACGTCAATTTGAGGGCCCCTGCAGGTACCTCGAATGACTCCTACGTTACATGTGGAGTCGTCGAGGATCGTTGCTTCATTAGGAGGATGGTCTCGTTATCTGTGGAAGACGTAGGGCAGACCACCAATATATGCTTTGGACTCGAGTTCAAGGCTGTAGCTCGGCAGTTATGGGTCACCAATTCAGCTAGAGCCTGTTAGTGTCTCCAGGTGATTCTCAGGGCCTCCCTCCACCACTCACCAAATGTATACAATATTAGTAGAATGAATCTTCTGCTAAAACATGGAACCATGCACCGCCATATGCTGTCTTTTGTGCATGTGGTGAGTAGTGGAGCAGGCCCCACTGTACGTATTCGTATAAAAAACAAAAAAACAGAGCTCCCTCCACCACTCACCAAATGTATACAATAATAATATTAGTAGAATGAATCTTCTGCTAAAACATGGGACAATACACCCCCATATGCTACTTCTTTTGTGCATGTGGTGAGTAGTGGAGCAGGCCCCACTGTACGTATTCATAAGAAAACGAAAACAAAAAACCGAGAGAGCTACGGGCATCTTCATCCTAACCCGTAACTGCCGACATGCAGACCTGAACGCCAACCTTCAGAATATATTGGTGGTCGGCCAGAGATGAAAATCGAAACTGTGACTTCTGCAATGTTTGTGGAGCAGGTCGTTACTAGGCGACTACTCCCTTCTCGAGAACTTACCCCACCACTGCGTGGGATTTGCAGAAGGGGGGGGGAAGGCTAGATTCCATACCCCCCCTAAGAGAAAAGTTGGAATGAGCCCTATTTTATGCTTTGCCTTTTTTGAAATTTCTGGGGGTCGGGCCTGCGGAAATTGAAATTCGGTAGCCCGAATCCAGCGGCCTAGCTCAGTTGTAAGGCACGCAAGTGGCATTCAGGAGGTCTTGTGTTCAATCCCCATTGGCCTCATGTACCTTCCTGGGCATGCTTGGCGCCCGCCACCTAGAGATAGCACGTTGGTCAGTCTCTGCTGATTTCATAGGGGGAGGGGTAATCGGGGAGGCACAGCGACTGGCCACTCAGATGATGCTCGGTCCTTCTGCCACCGGCTGTCCCCTGGCCGGTGTCCCCCGTTGGGGGTTCCCTGAAGGCAATCAAGGCCACCCTGGGCTGAAAAAGGCCACCTGATGTTAGATTAGACACAATATTGAATTTACCTGCGCTGGTTGGTCCGATGATATACCTCAAGGCCATCGCCCTTTAAAAAAAAAAAAAAAAAAAAAAAAAAATTCGGTAGCCCTTGCCCCAAAAGAAGTTCGGGCTGGTGGCACGGCTGGTTTGTGAGGTCGCGCGGTGCGTTTAACATTTTTGCCGAGTTGGGGACCCTAAGGAATGACAAAACCCCTAGTTTTTTTTTGTTTTTTTGTTTTGGACCTAATTTTTACAGTGCGGTGCGCTTGGGTGCGGTGCGCAAATCCGCGCACCGAGGTGCGCCGCAACTATGATCTTAACTGTTGTGACCCTACTTCATCCACAATGCAGAACTCAAATGCAAAAAAATGTAAGACTTGACAGACTTGTTGAATACAAACGAAAAAGTGAACCTCTGTCTTCCCCCTCGCTTCCTCTCCATCTCCTCTTCTTCTCCCTTCCTCCTCCTCTTGCAAAAACCTATTAATTTGAACGAATGAATGAGCAGGAATCATGTTAATTCTCCCTTACTGCCAGCACTCAAAGCACCCTCCGTTCAGCCTCAACCTCACTCCTCTCCTCTTGGTTGCATAACCAGCTATGGTGGTTCATCCGTGTCAATCATGGATGTTCAAAGGACAATGCAACTACTACTGTGCTTCTCCCATCTCATTCCGCCATACCTAAACTCTTGGATGATGTCCAAGACCAAGCGGTATCCACACAGGGTCCTTGTAGATGCAACGCCAACCAAGGAAGTGGAAATGAAGGTCTACTGAAGCCAAACGTGAGTCTCCCGTGTCACTTCCTTCCTCCTTTGCCGCCTCCACCTCCACTGCCTTCCTCTGCCCTCCTCCATAGCCTAGCTTGAGGTCCTTCATCCTCTTATCTCCATAGTCTAGGCCTACACCCTACGACTACCACTCCTCTATAGCCATGGAGTTGTTCTCCTTCACTGTTACCTGCTGCGCCTGCAAACGAGGGCCATTTTCAAGCCCCGTGTCGTTTCAGCCTGAAAGCCTGAAAACAAGGGCCTACAGGCCCTGTGTCGTTTCAGCCTAAAAAGGGCCCTCCAGCTAGGAAGATTTTCATGACCGGCCGGTTACCCGGGCGTGACGCCCAGGGGGGTCTGACGCCCGGGTGACCCAGTCATGGTTAAAAGAAAAAAAAGAAAAAGAAAAAAAAAAAGGCGGTGGGTTTTTTCCGCGCGCTCCGAGAGGAGCCCAAATCCGGGCTCTTTTCTTTTTTTGAGTGTTGGCTGTCAAAGGGGGGGAAGGGGAGTGTAAATGAATTTTAAAGGGGGGTGCCTTAGTGTGATATGGTTATTTTCTTTTTTATCTTTAGTTCTGTGACGAATTCTGATGTGACCTCAGCCAAAAGTTGTTTGTATTGCAATTCTGCACAACATTTTTTTTTTCCAGATTTTTTTTGATTTGATTTTTTTTTTTTTTTTTTTGTGTCTGCTGATTCG